TGGCAGAGCAGCTGGGAGGATCATGGGGCCGCCTGCAGGTTGAGGACAAGTTCCACTACTTTGAGCAGGCCATCTTCCAAACTCAGCAGAAGCAGGACGAGACGAATGACTCGTACATCGCCAGGTACGACGCTCAGTTCAAGGAGCTGCTGTCGCGCAAAGTCGGGCTGGAGGAAATCAGAGCTTATGTTCTCCTTCGTCACTCCCAGCTCACCGCAGAGGACAAGAAGCGAGTGATCGTGGAGTCCAAAGGCGATCTGCAGTACTCGGAGACAATCAAGGCGATTCGTTTACTGGGCTCTCGTTTCTTCGGTGACTTGCAGACCAAGGGTGGCGCCAGTTCAGGTACCAGCCTTGGCCCGGAAAGGACCAAAGTCTACGACGTCAACATGACGGAGGCCGACGCCGGCGAAGACATCCACATGGCCTCGCACGAGGAAGAGGTGGACGAAGAAGAGATCTTCGCGTACTTCTTCGAACAGTACGCCGAGGACGCGCTGTATATCGCGGAGTTTGAGGACGGCATCATCGAAGCTGTTCAAAGAATCCAACCTGGCGCCAGCTTTCTCTGTATACCAAGAAGCCAGAGCACGGCTTCGCGACAAAGCGAAGGTGGCCAGTGGGAAAAAGCGCTGGACGAGGACGCGGTAAGGGATACGGCAAGAAAGGTGGATGGTCAGGCAGCGGCTTTGGAAAAGGGAAGCGGCCAAAAAGACTGGCGGAAAGGATCTCGACATCGTCCTGCAGGTTGTGTGGGGCAGCTGGACATTGGAAGAGAGAATGTCCAAGGAACACTGACAACCAGCAAGGCAGCCACAACAAGGTGGAGATGTCGCATCTGGCCACCGACGATCGCGACGACGAGGACGACGACCACAGCAGCCAGCCACCCGAGTTTCTCCACGATTTTTTCGAGGACGCCGTGATGCACATGGATGAGCTCAGCCTGTCGGACGGCCAGGCGCGAGCGGGAGACAAGCAGGCTGGAGAAAGAATTCAGGATGTAGAGCAGTTCTGTTTTGCCGCACCGGAGGTGAAGCCAAGCAGGTGTATAGGTGATGCTCTTGCACGAAAGTTGTTAATTATTGCCAGGCCAAGACCGAGCCGACCTCTGGAAACCAGACGGTCAAGACCTGAGGCGCGGAGACAGCGGGCAGATGTTTCCTAGAAACCCGGGAGCAAGGATATTGGGGAAGCTGTTTTTATACTTACTGTTGGGGCTGAGGGCGTTGTAGACACCGGGGCCAGCCGAACAGTGGTAGGCAGCGACCGCGCGAAAGGGATTTTGGAAAGCCTCAGCACAGAGCGCCGACAGAATGTGAGAAAGGTCACTTCCCAGGTGACTTTTCGCTTTGGCAACAGCGGCGCCCTGGACTCAAAACATGCCTGCTGATTCCTACCTCGGAGGGCGCATGGACCAGGGTCGAAGTAGTTAGAGGGTCGACACCATTGTTGATTTCCAATCGGTTGCTTAGGGAGTTGGATGCGGTACTTCATGTTCGTAAGGGTATCATAGAGATTCCGGGGGGGTATGTAAAAATGAGAAGTGAGAAGAGGGGCCTTTCCATAGTAGATTTCGCGGAACTTATGCAGCATGCCACAGCCAGTGTCGAGACATACCCTGCTGCCCTGCTGTTGCAGAAGAGCCACTCACTGAGCATAAGCATCCACCACAAGCAATCAGCAAAACACAGACCCAAAGCAGGACACAGCAGGTGATCAAGTCAAATTTTCCACAGCCTTCAGTGGATCAACAGCTCCGGACTTTGAGCCGCCAGCCCCTTATCGAACCCAGAGCCCCGCAGCATGCCGTCCAGCACCGAGAAGAAGATCTTGGCACAGGCTCTCGAGTCGGAGAAGGACCAAGTGCGTGCTGAGGGAGACCTCTCGGGCGAAGAAGATGTGCGTCTGGTGGCCCAGATCGATCTTCGCGAGTACCTCCAGGTGAAGTACAATAGACCCCCGGGGGTAACCACAATGGAAGCTTGGAACAAGACGATTCTGAGCGATGGCAAGCACCGAGGAAACACTCACGACGCCACCTTCAATCAGGATCTGGACTACGCCCTCTGGATTGCCAACCGCAAGCTCAAGGCACCTTGGGCGCTCAATTTCCAGAACTATGTCAAAGCTCGCTTGCGGGTCGCTTCCGACCAGCTCGGACAAGGAGACGGGCGAGAAGGACGATGGATGGAGCGCCGTCGCGAGAGGGACTTGCCAGCCAAGACGGAGAAGAGCAAGAGACGCAGCGACAAAAGCCAGAGCAGCCAGGACATGAACATCGAGGTGGACCGCACGGGCTTGATGACCAGGCGCGCGCTCCTGCAGCGCGAGTTGCAGCAGATCGACGAGCTCGAGAAGCAAGCGCAGCAGCAATCGCAGCAGCGCCCGATCAAGTCCGAGCAGTAGAGCCGAGATGGACAACGAGTCCTGAGGAATCCGAGTCGTGGGATGCCACGACAGTGGCATTGTGTGAGCAGTGATGGGCGCATTCGTGAAATAGAGCCCGCACTTCAGTCCTAGATCGAGGGCTCCCATCAATCCCAACACGTGATGCCAGCTTTGGATGTTCTGGAGATCACCGCAGGGGTGGGCAATGCAGTGAGCACAGCCTTTAAGCAAAGGGGTGGCAGAGCAATGGTATACAACCAAGTTAAGAACATAGAGGGGCAACCTAGGTCAGCCGAACGGTCGTGGAAGATCATCCAGTTCTATGAGCCCAGACATGTGTGGATTGATGTCCAGACACCATGGCAGCATCTAGCCGGGCGATGCGCGTGGCCCGCCCAACTTTTGGTAGAGATCTTCCTGTGTCAGATGGAGAACGGACGGCATTTCCACATAAATGGGGGGCCAAGTTTCTTTAACAACATGCCTCCGGAGGTCCGAGAGATACAGGAGGGCACTCTGCAGTTGAGAGCCGGATGCCCCAAGACATGCATGAGGCCACAGAACATCATCCACACCACTTCCCACAGCATGCATCGCAGACTGGACGACAGATACACCAGCAAGCCAGAGACAGCATCCGACTCTAGCCAGCACGCCAAAGCACCACGAGCACCACAACACACGAAACAACCAATGGCTTTCAATGGACAGGTGGCAAGCACGCTGCTAGAATCGAATGATGTTCCTTTGCTATATAGTATCTGAGATCCTGGTCGGAGAGGGTGTTGCAAGTAACGGTATAGGCTCTGACCCAGAAAGCGCAGTACGCCACTTGTTCAAGAGGCGCCGGTTGACAGGAACACAGCCAACGGCAGGGTCAGTAATCGAGTTCCCAAAAGAGCCAGGTACTTGGAAGGAGATATTTCAGCTTGCAAATCCAGATGTTCCCCCCAAGGGCCGGGTTTACTATCATGAGGGCAGTGAGATGATTACACGGATTCAGGCATTGGTTCCCCAAATCATTGTGAGACACGCTGTGTTTTGTCGCGGCACGGTTCGGGTTCAAGCGGCTAGGGCTGGGCTTGATTTCGATAGGATTCCCCTAAAAAAGACTATGGTTGTAAAAAGGGAAAGTGGGAGGTCGTAGAATATGGGGTCACAGAAGCCTGGACCAAGATCCCAAAGTACCATCGCGGTCGGAAAGGAATTCCGGCCAGATTTAGTGTCACGATATACAGGGCCCCCAAGGATGTAGTGGTAAGACCGGTTGTCCCCGAAGTTGCATCGCGCAGCAATTCCTTTTCAGCTGGGAATTTGGGAGCAGAGTCGGGACCTGTGAGAGCCGTGCCGGCTGAGGAGCCAAATGTAGCGCCAAGCCTTGAGTCTTCTGTGTCACCAGCAGAGCCCGCAAGTATGGACTCGGATGAGCCGACGGATGTCCCAAATGGCCTTGAGTTAGGGTTCCCTCCTAGGTCTATCCCGCGGCATGGGCCAGGGTACTTAGCGCTTAGTGTCGAGAAGAGAAAGGAACTGGTACGACTGCACAACAATTTGGGACATCCTGAAGCTACTCTGTTTACAAAGTTTCTAGCAGAGCGCAAGGCAGAGCCGAAGTTCATTAGGGCAGCCGGTGACTACAGTTGAAGTGCATGCCTCGAAAGCAGTCCAAAACCTAAGAATGACCTTCTGCTATACACGGGGATGGGGACTTTGGGGATGTACTGGATCTTGACGTAGCCTATTGGAAGAATGGTCAGGGACAGACCTTCATGTTTACCCACGTCATTTGTGAGTCCACGTTGTTTCATATGGCAGTCGGAGCGGGCCGATCGCCAGAAGAGCAATTCGTTGCGCTTTCTGATCGTTGGTTTTCCTTTGCCGGGGTTCCCCAAATCATTTATGTTGATCCAGCTAGTAAGTATACGTCAGAGTTTTGGAGGGTCCAGCTCCAGAAGGAAAACATCAAGTCAAAGGTGAGCGCAGCAGAATCGCACTGGCAGCTAGGCCGCGTGGAGGCACACGACAAAATCATTAAGGACATCCTTAGCCGTATGGATTCTGAGCAAGCCATTGGGGATGAACAAGAGTTTCGGTTGAGCCTTCGTCAAGCTATATGGGCCAAAAATAGTTTAAGCCGTGTAAAGGGATATACTCCCGAGCAAGCGGTATTCGGGAAAATGTCTAGGCTTCCAGGTTCCATAGCATCAGATGAAGACGCAGCCGCGCACTCCTTGGCTATCAGCGAGTGTGCCGAAGGCTTTGCTTTCAGAAAAAGCCTCCAAAGGCGTGAGCAGGCGCGCTGTGCTTTTGTCAAAGCTGATAACGACCACGCCAATAGAGAATCCAATCTCCTGCTTCAAGATCCTGGCATATCGGTCGAGACCGCCTTAGCAATGCTCTCCGGTACGAGTTGTCAGTTAATTAGGGCTTCACCCGAGCAACTACGCTCAGCCTCCATGAGAGAATGGTGGTCAGTTGTTTCACAGCCGCAGCAGTCTCGGTCGCAAGGTTCTTCCGGAGCAATGCCAGGGATCCGAAATGTGGTTGATTTGTTGGGTTCAGGCGGTTTACCTTCAAGGGAGCACGTTGAAAGTGAAGGCGATGCTGCGATGGGACCGGTTACAGAGTGCGGAGAGACCCGGGCTGCCGACCTTCCGCTTCCGAACCTTCCTCCTAGTCCAGAAGTACTCGAGTACAGTCCTGATGCATTAGGCAACACACTGAAGAGGGAGGACAGCCGGAGCATGAAGTGTCGCCAGCCGCTTCGAGATGCAGGCGACGAGGTCCCAGACCATGAGATGGCAAGCGCAAGTGCCCCGGAGTTTTATGAAGTTCCGGTACCGGAAGACGATGATGATTTGCTGTTGGGAGACACAGAATGTTTTCTTGCGTTCCCTGATCAGCGGCAAGTCTGGGAAATGACTTTGCGTGAGACCCAGGCGGACATGGACAATCTCCCGTCAGCACAGCAAGCCCTAGAGTACGTTTTGCTAGCAACCCCAGAGAGGAAGAAGCGGGTCGAGGTTAGAATGCAGGATCTTTCCGAGGGCGAGCGGGATCAGTTTTCACAAGCCAAGGGCAAAGAAGTGGGAACTTGGCTGAACCATCAGACCGTGCGACGGGTTGCTGCTGGATCTCTGGCAGATGAGCAACTCCTCAGGTGTAGATGGATCCTTACTTGGAAGCCCCCTGAACAGCCTGGAGGTCCACGTAGGGCTAAGGCTAGGTTGGTGGTTTTGGGTTTTGAGGACCCCGGGTTAAATGATACACCAAACGATGCTCCTACTCTGGGGAAAGATGCTCGTCAGTTGATCCTCCAAAAGGTTGCGTCCAATCGATCGAAGCTGATTAACTTTGATATTTCCACAGCCTTCTTACAGGGACGGGGAGATGGACGCAAGCTTGGCATACACCCGCCCGAGGAAATCAGGCAAGCTTTGGACATGAAGCCGGGAGATCAGTGTCAGTTAATGGGTGGGGCATATGGTAGGATAGATGCTCCGTTCTTATGGTTCAAGACTTTAAAGGGCACTTTAGAGAGTCTCAGTTTTACACAGAGTCCGTTTGATGCTTGCACTTTCAGTTTGATTACGCAGCATCCTCAGGGTCGACCTAAGGTTCATGGGGTACTGGGGATACACATGGATGATGGTCTACGGGGTGGGGATTCGTACTTCCGCATGGTTATTCAGAAGCTTCGGGACAAGTACAGTTGTGGGTCGTACGATGAGGGCGAGTTCACCTTTACAGGCATTCATTTTAGACAATGGGATGACGGTAGCATAGAGTACGATCAGCAAGAGTACTTGGATCGCATTCAGCCGGCTCACATTCCCCGGAATCGTCGTTGTGAACCAGAATCTCCTTTAAGACCGGATGAAGTTCATGAGCTGAGACGGTTGAATGGTAGCATCCAATACGCCGCTGTTCACACGCCGCCAGACCTGGCGGCGAAAGTGGGGATGCTCCAATCTGCAGTTCCCAAAGCTAAGATTCTGCATCTTATTGAAGCCAGCCGACTTTTGCATGAAGCCAAATCAAACCATGTCTCGTTGATGACGGTTCCCTTTCCGGAGCAACACGTGGCTTTCTGTACTTTCTCAGACGCTTCTTTCGCAAGTAGTAGGGATAGTAATTCTTATCAAGGCACACTGGTGGTTGCAACGGATTGGCGAATGCTCGCCAACGAAAAAGCTGTGATTGTGCCAATGGTGTGGTCCAGCAGGAAGATTGCCAGAGTTGTCCGTAGCACCTTGAGCGCCGAAGTAGTTTCCTTGTGCAACTCGGTTGATCGCATGTCGTGTTTGAGGCTTTTCTGGGAATGGATGAAGGATCCTTCCGTGGATATCTCACAACCAGACGAGGTTCTGAAAGGGGCTCCTCAAGCAGCTTTGGTTACTGATTGTAAAAGCGCATATGACATAGCGACTAAGACTGCTGTCCCTAGTTGCTCAGAGCTCAGGACCCAGTTAGAGTGTCTGCTTTTCAGAGAAAGGCTCCTGGAGAACTGCCAAATGCGATGGGTCCATTCCAAGGCTATGCTTGCGGATTGTCTGACAAAAACCATGGATAGTAGTGAGCTCCGTAGGTGTCTAGCCAGTGGGCAATACTCCCCGTATGATGAAGACAAAGTACTGGCGGAGCGTCAGGGTAGGAGACAATCGCTTGAATGGCTACGGAAGGACGCCGAAGATGCAAGCGCAGCATTTTAGGTTTAACAATAATTTTTGACGAGTGTTAATCCACTTCAGGACATGTCACAGGAAGGCGCTTGCATCGTGGCCGATTCCAGCACAAGGGGTGGGCAGAGGGCGAGGTCGCGCTTGGGAAAAGGGCTACAGAGCAGGGCTCTTGTAGGACAGGGCTCCTAGGGTCGGGGACCCCTTTAAGACTAGGCTTTAGGGTTCTAGGGGCAGGACCGGGCTACCTTATTCACAGATGACGATGATGGTGATGATTCTGAACTATGACGATGCTGTGTTGATGTGATGATGACAATAATGATGATCGACCGGTTAAGTCGAGTTTTAACCAGGCCGGGTCAGCCAGCACTGGTAGGTCAGCACAGGTGGTAGCGCTTCCTGTGTTGCGGCTTCTCTGTTTTCATGTTGGTGTTGTGAAGGATGGTCTGCAGTCTTGCTGACTTTCAAAACATCCTACAACTGCGGCAATGAATATTATTGGGATGCTACTCTAGAGGTGGAACAGAGAGCTAATACTGGTTTAGTGGTTTAGGGTTTCAGTGGTTTAGGGTTTAGTGGTTTAGGGGGGCTCTGGGGAAATGTGCGGATTCGGGCGCGTTTGTATTGCGCACGCTACCTTCGCAGTTGAGGCCCCGGACGCAGAACTTGACCCTCACCATGCAAGGCTTGTTGCATCAAGGCTGTAAACCCTTTGAATTTGGGGTAATACTGGGGAATGAAATGGACAAGAAAATGGAATGAAACGATTGTACCCAGTATGGAGTCGCATCTCAAGTGGTGGTCCCCACATTGACAGACCCCCTAAGAAGGACTCTAAGAAGGCAATTCTCAAGGAACCCAGGTGTTTATCAGACTGGGCGCTCCAGCGAATCTACCTGATTCTCGAGATGTCTATAGACTTACTGGTTACTAATCGCGAATAAAGGAATATAATCCTGATATAGTCACTATATAAGATATATACCTTACTCAACATATACCGTATTCCCTACTCAGAACCAGCAAGTAGATCGAACCATTTGTCTCACAGCTCCTCCTTCACCAAATTCCAGAACAACTGAATCTTAGTGTGAACTCCTCCGGCATATCGCGGTTAGCACCAAAAAACTTACATTTCGGACTCTCAGTGTTCAAGGTTTACCTTAAACCCTAAACCGCAGTAGGGTGACTTTGTTTACCTCCTATCCCCTTAGCGCCACAGAAGTATCAACGAGCAAAGCCCTGGATCCCATACAGCCAGCTGCCTGATTCTAGGGCTACAGACTTGCGGTTTAGGTTTAGGGTTTAGGTTTAGGGTTTAGGGTTGAGGGTTTAGGGTTTGGGGTGTAGGGTTTATGGTTTTGGGTTTTGGGTTTGGGATTTGGGGTTTAGGGTTGAGGTCAGGGGCCCATGGGATGAGATTGCGAAGCACGCTTCAAGGACTTTGACTTTTTTTGGCGAACCCAGAAACCTCCAGATGGTCTGTCCTAAGGCACACATGTACATACCAGTGACTTACTGGGGCTGAGTAGGGAATAAGGGAATAGGTTAAATACGGACTATACATGGGTTATCTTCCCTTACCCCCAACTAAGAACCAGCGAGGCGACAGACTGTTGATGGACAAAAGTTCTGCAGCATCCTTGGCTACCGGGCTTAGCTGTTTAGGGTTTATAAGGTCTAGGGTTTAGGGTTTAGGGTCTAGGGTTTAAGGTTTAGGGTCTCGGGTTTAGGGTCCTGCAGGATTTTGCCCATCAACAATGTGGCTGTGTCCCTGCCAGGGGCTTGTTGTAGCCCACTGGTGCCAAGGGGCTCGTCTACGGTAAGCGCTGTAGACCCTAAGCCCTCTAGAGCCTTAAGTTTTCATCGGATCTCACCTCAAGCCCTAAACCCTCCAAGAACATCAACCAAGGCCCTAAATCCTACACGCTTCTCATGACAAAAGGCGGTCGCATCAAGGAGGCATACCCTAAACTCTAAACCCTAAACCCTAAACCCCAACCCCAGAGAGCTCCAAAAATCTCAACTCAGCAGAACGGCTGTAGCATGGAGGAGGCATCCCACCAAAATCCCAGCGAGCCAGCCAACGAGGAACCAAGACCAGCCAGACTGAAACAGCAGGGAGATCACCTGGGAGGTCTGGAGGTTAATTTAGGGTTTAGGGTTTAGGGGTTAACTTTGCTAGGTTCCCCAGTAACCCCTTAACAATAAGGGTACCCTTTTTCCTAGTATTTAGATTTAATAAGGAAACCCCCAAATAAAAAGGGCAAAAGGGTACTACTGGGGTACCTAGTTTGTATATGTGGGTTGATCTAACAGTCCTTTGGGGAACTTATCGACGGTTCCTGTCATAGGTCTATAAGGAAAACTCTGAACTGCCATGTTGGGAACAGGAATTTTGATCAACTACCATATCTACCTAGACCCCTCTACCCTGCCCCTTTTGTAGGGTACCAAATTTTTGTACATTGCAGGTACTAGACTTACAGTTAGGTATCCTAGAAAAATGGGTAGGGTACGGGCGTCAAGTAACCATTTTTAACTGGGCTTATGACCCTGCTAATTACTAACATAACCCCTGTACGGCCATTTAGGAAGATGATTTGTAGGGCTATAAGCCGAGTTATAAGGAGCTATGAAACCCATGGACCTTCAAGTCAGGTATAGACTGTAAACCCTAAACCCTAACTTTAATCTAAAGTGGGCAGGGTATAGGGCTTTGTTGCAAGACTTGGAGCGCATCCTAAAATTGCAATTGTTGCGGAGCTTAAACCATCCAAACAGATTTTCATTGGGAATCCCAAGTCCAAAGAGGTCTTTTGTTCGGGATCCCGAGTCGTAAATCCTTAAAGAAAAGAAGAAACATTGAGAATCCTGTCCAAAGAGATCTATTATCCGGAGCCCCAAGGGATAAAGCGACTATGGGGATCCTGTGCCTCGAACCCTGCTCAGTACCAAGAAGAAACCTGCAATCTCCACTAACTTTGGTAAGCTAGGAATGAAGGAATGGATCCTTATAGTAATCTCTATATAAAACACATTATAATAGTCTCGGCCGGTGCCTTGTAGGTGCCTGCAGTAATCCAGGTATGTGAGAGGAAGACGTCAAAGTGCGGAACCTTCTTTCAATGCGGTTGATGGATCAAGGTTTAGGGCTTTGGATACCCCAGCAGAACATGGAAAATGAAATGGAAGCTGGTTTTATCATATGGGGACATTTTAGGAATGTTTCGTAGGCAACAAGGGGTCTACGACTATCATAGCCGCCTTTTAGGGCTCTTACTGGCGGGGTCGGGGTCTTTGATTGTTCATGGTAAGTTGAAAACCAATGTCCTCTCTGCCGGATGGACTTTGGTGCTACGTGTTTACGAGTGCGCTGCTAAACGCATTGGCCCGTACCCATGAAAACTTAATCTACACTGCTATTCTCTTTCTGGACCAAAGGCTTGCATTGCCAAGGCCTTAACTCAAAGCTTTGGCAGAAACTGTTCAGGTGGTTGAAGAACTCCTTCGCAAGACTGGGGTACCTATCTGCTAGAGGCTTCAAGCAAGAAGGGTTATGAATGTGACATCAGAGCTAGACCCCTGAAGAGACCTCAAGTGTTCATATGAGCTATAGTCTGAACTCCTTGAAGAGGGGTTATACAGGGGACTACTATAGGCGTGATGAAGGGTTTCCATACACACTGGGCCCTAATATAGGCTCCATAATCCTGTTTTCTTTTTAATGAGGGCCCCCAAGCAAAGATCGCCAATGTTTGGAAACCACCCCATCTCTGAAACCAGGCAACATTAAGGGGACCTTCTTTACATTCATCTTGTTCGGCGAAACTTAAGCCATCCCCTTACTACTGGTTAGTAGGTCATGGAGGACTGTACTGCAATTTGTTCGTATGAGATGCTTAATAATTGTCCCTGATTTCCACTCCTTCATTTCGAAAGCCAAAATTCTAAGCAACGCAAGTAAAAGTTTCCAGGCTCTTTTCCATTCCTTCGTTCCCTAGTACCCTGAACCCAAAACAATGCAGTTTCCATTTTGTCCCTGGCCGCCATTTGAGCTACAATCCATATTTCCTCATATAGTTAACGCACGCGGGTCACGCTAATCCCTAAACCCTAAACCCTTTCTGATCCCGTGGTAACCTGAATAGTTGACGTCAGCTCATTTCCTGATAGCCACCACCAGGTGTCAGCTCTAAGCCCAACCAAAAGACGCACGATGTGTACTCCCAATCATTTCTTGACAGCCAACGTCTACAACGGCTTGTCAGATAATCTCTCTCTCTCTCCCCTTCTCTCTCTCCCACTCTCTTCTTCTTCTATAGGCTA